GCTGCACAGAACCTTCCCTCCGGCAGGGGCCGGACTCGCCGCGCCACTTCCCGGCCCGCCTGGTACCCTCCTGTCCGCCTGCGGGAGCTGACCCGAGCTGTCTTCTCCTAGGGCCGCGGCGAGAGGGCGAGAGTCCGCGCGATCCGAGGGAGCGGTGCCTGCACGGGCTCGCGCCTTGCGGGGCCCCACGGCGACCGAGGGGACGATGGACTGCTGTCCCGGAGGCCACCCTGCGCTTGCCGGTCCTCGCTAGTCGCTCGAATTTGCTTTTTACTCACCAGCTAGGCCTTGTCTCCTGACTCAGTGGCGTCGTGGTTCGAAAGAAATGGAAGAAAAGGAACGATGTGACCGATTCCGTCCGATCCTCCTACATTGAGGCCTGGTTGGCATTTTTAGAGGAAAATACAGCCAGAGAGTCGTGGTTTTTTGGAGGGGGGTGGGAGGGGAGGGTGGGGAAAGGACAACAAGATCTTACATTTTATATGATTTTTTTAAAAAAAATCTGTTCTTTGACAGTGGTGGCGAAATAAACTAGTTCAAAAGTTATTTTTCTATTGGGAAGAGAGAAGAGGTGTTTTTTTTTTTTTCCCTTTTGATTCCAACCTTTTCTCCCAGTGACAAAGCATAAATCATGGACACCAGGGAATAAGGTGGACCTCAGGAATCTGGAAAAGACGGAGAAGCTGACACTCTCTCAGGAGGGAAGAGTGGGGTGTTTTTAGCCCTCTCTGGAACCTGAAACGAAAAACATGAGTTGCATGCCATGGAAAGGAGACAAGGCCAAATCGGAATCACTGGAGCTGCCCCAGGCAGCACCCCCACAAATCTACCATGAAAAACAGCGCAGGGAGCTCTGTGCTCTCCACGCCCTCAATAACGTCTTCCAGGACAGCAATGCCTTCACCCGGGAAACACTGCAAGAGATTTTCCAGAGGTAGGGACTCTTTCTCCTTGAAACCTTGGTATTTCTTGGGTGGGGCAATGTCTCAGCTGCAGAAGTGTTCAAACCTGCAGGTATTAGCTAGATGCTCTCAGCAGGCATAGGGGACGTAGGAATGGCAAAGACGGTGATGACAGCTGCACACAGCACTGCCTGTGGGTCAGCTACAGACCTAATAGCCTCCGTTCTGTTATCTCAGCTGATCCGTTCAGCAGTTTCATGAAATTCATCATTGCATGTGTGGTTATTTCCATTTGGCAGATGAAAACAGGACTCAGGGAAGTGCAGTAGTTTGCCCAAGGTAACATAAGAGTTGAAGCCAAGGTCGAATTCAGGACTGTATCTGCTCTTGCCTACTATGCTATAATGTCTTTGAGTCCTGCTGCCAAGAAGTTTGCAGTCTAGAAGGGAGAGAGATGTACACATTGAGTTGCCTGTCATCAAAAGTGGGACATGGTGGGTACCCCAGGAAAGGCGTGTACACAGCTGGGCTTTGCTGCTGGCTTTTGGTGCTGTTCGTGAGTTTGCGTAGCCCTCTACGGTTGTCTCATGCTCTTTATGTTAGTGATAGAGAAGCAGGCAGGAAGGTAGGTATTTGTCCATAGCTTCTAAATAGCAAAGCTATGAATTGGAGGGTGACTCCCCTCCCCTTTCTATTTTATTCTAGATGGCCTTTTGAAAAAAAAAAATGCCAGTGGGCACGTGCACTTGCTAGAGAGAGAGAGCGCGCACCCCTTCCATCTCCCCATGGGGAATGTTCACACCACAATGTCTTCTCTGTTTTTTCCTTGTTTTGGGATTTTTGGGACACAGGTACACACACACACGCACACACGCACGCGGTGTTTTTCAATCTTTTGGTCTGGGGCTCTAACGGTGCAGTCGGCCATGTGGGATCTAGCCACTTTAACTCTCATGGCTCCAACTGGCCCATGGATGGTCTTATCACTTAAATGCCAACCTGCAACCTGCAGGTTGATAGAAGTTTGGCTTTGTTCTCTTTGCTTTTTCTAAACTTTTTTTTATCAGAGGATTTGGGATTTAGTTCTGTGGTGTCTGGATGTTCACAGCAGCACACCTGCAGTCTGTAGCAGCTTTGGGGGTAACCTGTCCAGTCACTCCATCTGGAAAGGGTAGGCCTACTGATTCCTTAGTACAGAGAAAGCTTAAGAATTCATTGAGTGGTGTATATTGGCAGTTTCAGGAGACCCTTTTCAGATGCCCTTCACTTAGACCTAAGTTAGAGTTAGAAACAACCTATTGGGAGTGATTTGTGAAGCATAGGTGTGGACCATTTACCCTGAAAGAACCATAGGCTTCTCTTAAAGTGCTGTTAATCCTGGGATGCTGATGGAACTGTAATGGGAGTCATTGTTTTCCAGGGCCTGGTGGCGCTAATGTGTCATTTGGATCATGGCCATTATCTGGAAGCATATAGAGTTAACTCAGTCCATTAGACCGCTTCTTATGACCAGCCATTGCTGTTTCCTCTAGTCCTAATGGGATATTTGCACATTCTTTCCTTATCTAAAACTGGGGAAGAGGAAAGACTCACCTGAGTATCTGGATTTGTTTGGTACTTTGCAATACTGTATGTACTGACGATCCTGCAACAGCGATCCTGCAACAACTTTGTCAGTGACGATCCTAGGAAACTGGGATTTAGTTTAAGGAATTTGGAGAGATTTACCCACTAGCACATAAGTGTCAAATTTTGTGTATCCAGAACCAGCCTTTGGCCTGGTGGTTAAGGAAACTATCCTACCATATGACCAACTTTCGATTCAAGTCCTGGATCCACTCAGCACTTGTGCATGTCCCAAATCCTGATAGGATGGGAAAATGGAGGAGAAGGGATTCAATGCAACTGCACCCCATTGTGGAATACTTTCTTCCTCTCTTTCTTTACCTATCTCTGGCAAACGCAAATTACAAAAAAAAAAATTGTGTATCTAATCATACTCAGATAGAAAGTTTTCACTTCTGTAAGTTTGGCCCCCAGTCTGACCAGGGGAATTATGATGAGATCCTCAACACATGTGAACACTTCATGGGAAGTACCATTGGGAAGGTTTCCCTTGTGTTGAGTTCTCACACCAGTCTCATGAGTTAGACACTGTTGTTTCGCATTTTTTCAGAAGAGGAAATGATGGTATGGAGAGTTTACAGCTACTGTGGCAGAATTTGTACCCAAGCTATATGACTCAGGGCCTGCTCTCGCTGCTCTCCAGCTTCCTGAGTATTGGAAAGGCCTGTCAGCTCTGGGGTCTGCCTCAGTAACTGTGCACTTGCTAGTAAGGTAGGTTGGGGTGAGGGTCCAGACCATGGTCATGAAAGAGTCTTTCAGCTGTGTCCCTCGATGAGAGAGTGCTAAATGTTTGCTAAACACCACATAGAACCAGGATCCTATGCCTTTTAAAGCTTTTAAAGCTAAATCACACTGCACTCCCCGGGTCCTTGTCAGCACACTATAACGGCCTACTTCAAAGCAAGCCAGTACATAAGAGAGTATGCTGTGTTCCCGCTCCGGAAAAGGAATTCTGTATAGTGTCTTGAATGAGAAGATTCTGTATGGATACGTAGGAACAACAAAGTGTAAAAGGAATCCAGAGAAAAGCACAGGGAACCGAAGTGAGGGAGAGAAGCTGGAATTCTTTAAACAAACACTGACTAGCTGCCTGCTGCGTGCCAGGCACCGCTAGGCACTCTGAAGAAAGCAAGTTCAACAGGGCAGGTCTGAGAAGCACCTCTCAGAGCTCTGTATTGTTCAGACCTTGAGAGTAGATGAAAATTAGAACCAGGGAATTCAGAGCAATTTCAAAATGAAAACATGATTTATTTAGATCTCAAGGGAAAAAGAAGTCATGCTGGCAGGTTTAACCAGAGAACTTTAAGTTCCTGGATCTGAAAGTTCTATCCTGTTTTGAAGATGTGACTAACGAATGGTAGAAATGGGAGGAAAAAGTTGATAAGTGCTATTCGCTGAGAGGAAGTCATCCTAGCAGTTGAATTTTAGCCAGATAAGAGGAGAAATACAAAAGCAGGGTGGAGTTTGAATAGAGTTGTGGATCTGAGATGACTCATGCTTGGAATAGAAATGAATAGAGACTTCGAAAGAACTAAGATGATGACTTGGCAGCAACAAGGGGGCTGGGAAGAGAAGAGTCAGGTGTGACAGAAAACAGTGGTCACATCTGCAGCGATAGCAAAAAGAGATAATTTGTGAAAAGAATAGTTTTGGGGCCGGCAGGTGGTATGATGGCTAAGGATACCGGACTCCCACGTAGCCTACCATGGTTTGAGTCTTGGACCTGGTGGCTTGCTTTCTCACTTTTCTTCTCTCTCTCTGTCCCTCTCTGGTCAAATTAAAATAAATAAAGTTAAATAAAATAAAATAAAATAAAATAAAATAAAATAAAATAGCTTTAAAAAAAAGTTTTGACCTGTGAAATTGGAGAAAAGGTGAGAGAAACTGGGCAAATGTCGTCAGTGTGTTTGTAAGTAGAGGTGGAGATTTGACTCATTTTATCATATGTGTGTCTAAACTTTAAAAAGAAGAGACATGAGGGACCAGCAGTTAGTATAATGGCTATGGCGCTGAACTCCCATGTAGCCGACTGCGGTTTGAGTCCCAGACCCAGAGGCTTAAACTCACACCGGGCGTGTGTGTGCGTGCGTGCCCAAGATCCCGAGAGGAGAATGGAGGAGAAGGGATTGCGGCTTGACCATCTCCCCAGGGGGTGATTTCTCGCTTTCTATCTCTCTGTCTCTGTCTGACTGGCGAGCGCACGCGCCCTATAGCAAAAACCTCTCCAAAAAAAAAAAAAAATTCCAAACCATTACCATAGCCAGACAGTGATCATCTTGAGAGAGGACCAGGGACTTACCTAGGGTTGTAGACATCAGTGGACACTTAGACTACAGCCTATCGTTTCTCTTTTAGACCAGTTCAGATCTTGTGGCTCTAAACTCTGGCTGTGATGACAAAAATGAGAGCTTGCTCAGTACCCCAGAATGTCTGTGGATGTGATTCAGATAGTCCCACACAGGAGTTTGCTAAGGAGTGTCAAGAAGACTTTCCACTGGGATCAGGGCAGGATTCCATAGAATTCAATGGGTCCAGTGTGTTGAAATGTCCAGAGGGCTGGTCAGTGTTGTCCTGAGTTTAGGATTCTCACTCTGCCACTCACCAGCTGAGCGTGACTGTGCAAGTCACTATAACCTTTGCACCTTAGCTTCCTTATTTACAATATCTTAAGACTGTTGGAAGGACCAAGTGATAAAGCCTGTAAAAGCAGCCAGCACAGCGGGAACCTAATGATTGTCACAGCCAGTTGTGGTGAAGTGGCAGCGCAGTGAATGAATCCCACCTATTCAGATGTGCACTCCTCTAGAATGAAATGGAAGCTATTTTTTTTTTCTTGAGAGGTTTTTTCGCTATAGGGCGCGTGCGCTCACCAGACAGACAGAGAGAGACAGACAGAAAGCAAGAAATCACCCCCCAGAGGGGATGGTCACGCCACAATCCCTTCTCCTCCACTCTCCTCTCGGGATCTTGGGCATGCACGCACATGCGCCCGGCGTGAGTTTTAAGCCACCAGGTCTGGGACGCGAACCGCGGTCGACTACGTGGGAGTCCAGCGACATAGCCATTACGCTAACTGCTGGTTCCCTGAAATGGAAGCTATTTTCAGCATTTTTGGTTTTGATCAGTTTGGTCAACACATGTTTATTCAGTGCCTCCATGTGGGAGATACCAAGTAGAAGAGCCTCCCCTTGCTTCAGGATTTGGTTAGACAGGTGTAACGTAACTGAATTATTCACCAGTCCTGTAAGATAGGAATCGTTTCCATTTTTACACATTAAGTAACAAGCATGGAAGTTAATTCTCACAAGGAGTGTTGATGGTGCTTGGATATAAACTACATATGTGTGGGCCTCCCAAACCCCTTCCTTTTTCAAAGAGGAGCCAGGAGATGCCATGGAAGAGAGAA